AGACTTATTACACGATGATAACGACAGGATGTTTTTAAAGGAAAACTCCACTTTAAAATGTATGAATTAAGTTTATTTTACATGGATATTAAAACAAATGTTAAAAAAACGAAAAGAGTGTGACATGTCTTACTAAAAAGTGATTTTATACAGTATAAATGTTTATGTGTACTTTTATGTGGACCAAAAGAAATATGTTTCCAGCTTCTGTATACCTCGCTTTGCCTTCAGATCACTTAAAATAAGTTTTAAAATCACTTTGAAAAAAAGTCATAACAAATTTTATCAGCACTTGTTATGGTTGCTATGTGACGAGATTCGTCCACTGTAGGCTAGATAGTCTCATTTCAAAACTCTCAGTTCAGCCTGTGTGGACTTCGACGGACTCACCTTTGTGGTCTGCATCCTTCGGAGGATGCAGCCTCTGAAATGAGACACAGCTTTTATGAGTGGATATCATTGCAAATCATATCTGGTGCAGTATGACAAATAGCTTGTCCCACGACACATTGTTAGGAGTGTAAAAGAGTGAAGCAGAATGGAACAAGATAAAAGAGAAGGGTCTCAATGAAACAAAAAACGCAAGTGGTCACAAAATTTGAATGTAAAAACCATTTAGAAAAGGCAATGCTTCTCTGCAATCAGATCACTGAAAACCTATGGTATTATCAGATAGAAGCACAGGCTTTAGACTAAAATTTGAGAGCACTGGGGCTGGTGCCCATAAATTCTACCAGTGGTGTCACCAACACCTGATTTGGCAGAGCTGCACATGTAAAAATTATTATTACAGGTTTCATTTTTTATCAATGCACAAATGACAGTAGCTTGAGACAAGCTCGAGTTTAGGATACAGATTTACATTTTTGGTTGTGTACTGTTTATTATTATTTTCTTTTAAAAGCTGATAAATGATCCATGTGGTGCAAAGTTCAAACAAGTTGAGCTTTTTCATTTTGCTTTTGGTGTGTCTGTCAATGTATCTCTCATATGCAAAAGTATTTCATCGGTTATCAGTTTGGCAAATTGGTGATGTCACCAGATTACATTAATTACAAAGTTACACCAGTAGGTGGCAGCAAAGAAACTGTTCATAAACAGAGTCACCAATTAATTTTTAAAAGAAATTAGCAAGGAAAGCTTGCTATCAATACATTTTAATTGGGGATGTAATGATGAAGTTTGAACTGGTTAAAATTTTCAACATTTCATATATGTGACAATTCAAACCGTATGAGATACCAAACAAAACTCAATTGGAGTTAGGGTTGGGCCGATAGACGATGCTATCGTCCATTGCCGATGGCCAAGAGACAACACGATGCTGAGCTGGCATTGCCGTTCCTCTGCCATGCCCCCGTTGCAAACCCGCTCGCGAAATTTACACACTTGGCCCCGTTTACACTAAAACGTCTTAGTGATAAAATGGCATTTTACATCAAAAATGATCCACATCCACACCGTTTTACCTAGCATTTTTAAACAGCCCTTCGTCCGCTGAAAACGCACATCACGTGACCACACACACACACTAAAAACTGCATCTTTATTTGAATCATGATTAAAATGTGGTAGGCTCCTGTAAGTAAGAGCCTTATGGTTTATATGAAGAGATTAGTTTTGTTGCATTCAATTTCACAAAGAAACAAACCGCAATAGCCCAGTATAAGGACACCTTTTCATGAAGTGTATATATGTCTTTGGTATCATTTTGTTTCAAAAAATCATGAGGAAAAACAGTGTAATAAAAATCATAAACTGAATGGAATCATGACTTTAGCAATCGTTACATCTAGAGCTGCATAACACATCGTGTCAGTATCGATATCGCAATGTGATCGTTCGCAATAGTCATATTGCAAGTAAACGCAATGTTAAGTCTGTTATAATTGTTCAATTTACAGTGTTTTTTGAAGCCTGTGACTGTGAGTTTTTAAAAGCATTCAGGTATAGGAAACTGTATCATTTGCAACTTTGAAAAATGAATAGCCATTCATTTTAAATACCTGTTTAGAAAACTAAGACTATGCAGTATTGATTTTCATTTAATTATTCATTTATTGCATGCATGAATACTTCCTCTGAAAACAATTAGACAGTTTTAATTCATTTGTATCCTTTTCTCTATTGAATTATCTATGCTTGTAGAAGGTTAATGTTTTATGCATTACCCTACAGAATCATCCCAATCAACCTAAAATGATTCATTCTTTCCAAACAGTAATTCAAGTCACACTAAGGCTGGGCCATTTGGCCTAAAATCAAAATCTCGATTAATTGAACATTTTAACTTGACTGTGTTTAATGAATGATTATTTTATTTTATTATTTAGCCCTCACAGTTCACTGACAAGTTTTGTACAATAAAGATGTTACGTATTGTCAGTGAGAGATTTTTGAATGAAGGGTGCATTACTTGATTTTAAAATAATTGAAGGAAACACACTATCTATGAATATTTACTGAACATCAACGTTGAACAACTGAAATAATCCACACCGCCCATACTTTTCACCGCTATCAAACTGAATCAGTTTAGCCTGCGCTACGTGTCGTTACCATGTGCAGTTACTTTTTTTGCGAAGGTATGCGACCAACCGCGCGAAGGATGTGCTGCACCATACATATGTGCTTGACGCAGAAGTATAAATCAGTCTCAACAGAGCGGGATTACGTGACTTGACAAGCGGCAGCTGCTTTAAAAAAAAAAGAAAAAGAAAAAAAGAAGAAAGAAAAAAAATCGGCCTTAAATTTTTATTTTTTTTTATTTTAGGTTATGAATGTCGATTTTATTGACGTTGATTACTTTCCGATTAATTTCCCAGCCCTAACTTACACAAAAAAAAATGCTTTGAGATTTGAGGTGGTACAGCACAAATGCATTAAGTTAACTTAATTTATTGTTACAATTTTAAGTGGGTTGACCATAAAACAATTAAGTTGTCTAAAAAAATCGTCAGAATTGTGTTTCAGCTCAATTTAAATCAGTAGACTGAAGAAAAATCCAACGTAATTTCTGTAGTGCATCTAGTGAAATTGTAGTCATATCGCAATGCACATCGCCGAATAAAAAAACATTGCAATGTAGATTTTTCCAATATCGTGCAGCCATACTTGCATCCCTAATTTCCTAATTAATTTTACATTTGCCTTGTGTTCCTTTGTCTAGTTGTGACAACTAATCATTTTTAGAAATGTGGAAGATTCATGATCATGCTCTAAACAAAACTGCGTTTCTCAGATTATCCAGAATAATGCAGCTCTACATTCCACAAAATAAACTTTTGTTTTAATAGACTCTGGCAATTTTGACAGTAGCTCTGGTAAATTACCATTTATTTTGTTTGGTTGTAAACTGATACCATTCAGAATCAAGATTTACATCCAAAAACCAAAAGAATTTTAACCTGACCAGAACTGTGCAGCTCTACAAAATACACATCCTAGTAAAGCAAATACAACAATATAATATAGCAGACATACCACTGTCAATCTGTCTGCGAGATTAAAAAATATAAACTTATAAGTCCTCTTTACACGTAAACCATGTTACTTCCCCTTTATTTTAAGAAAGCACAACAAGCAGACCCTTTTCTGCTCTATTGTTTTATACTAGCTTTTATATTATGTTAATATAATAAAGCAGGTAAATATTGTAAATTTACATTATTTCACATAACACATAAAAAAATGACAGAAATTACATAAGCCAGAAATTAAACTGCGTAGTGTGCCTTTGAATCACTGTGACTATATTACTACACATTACATTACATTAGATCAATATGTACAACTCATTTCCATGTGAACTACAATGTAAGCTGTCACACTGATGGACTATTTACAGTCAGATGATAACATCCTAATTTGCTGAGATTACCACAGACATTCCAGTAGCATCTGGAGAATGCATAACTGACAAGTACGTGGCTAGGATTTAGTGGACGGTATTCTGTCCACGGCAGGACGATTCAGGCCAAATATGCGGTCTGAGACAAAGAACTCCACTCTCTATGAAAAAAAGTCTGGCAAGACAGCAGTGCGACACTACAAACTTGGCCTGCATGCAAGGAAGTGAGGGAAAGGATGATGATGATTTCACTACACAAGGAATATGAGATGTTATGTTTAGGTACAGTACAGAATAAGCTACAAATTGTATAGTGTCATTCAAAAAGTTTGGGTCAGTAAGGAAAGTTTATAAAGATTGTTTTTGATTAAAGATTCAGCTAAAACAGTAACATTGTGAAAAAATAGTTTAAAATGAATACTTAATTGCAATGTTATTCATGTAATGGCAATGCTAACTTTTCCGCAGCCATTACAGCCTTCAGTGTCACATGATCCTGCAGAAATCATTCTAATGCTCTGATTTGGTGCTCAAGGAAACTTTTTATATTATTATTATTATAGTTCAAATTAGTTGTGCTGCTTCATATTTTTGTGGTAACTATTTTTCATTATTCGGCATTTCAAATAAAACTATTTACCACACAAATGTCACTTTTGATTAAGTTTAAAATTCATATAATACAATAATTAATTAAAATTTGAATGTGGCGTATATTAAAGTGAAGTGTTTTGAGAAAATAGGCTCCATTCATACATTAGCCTTTAAATAATGTCATGACTCTACTGACTGTATAAGTCCAGATGCAAAACAGTAGCTTATTATGCATACATACGTCACACATGTACACAACACAACTATGAACAACTTTTGTAGTTTTTTTTTATACAAAACTGTAAAGTCAGAGACTGCAGAAAGTGATCAACTTAATCGACACTTTTGGACACACACTTTTACTTTGCGATGATGGCTTGATACGATTAACAGACCACCCAGACCAGTGTCCTTGTCTAGGGAAAACCCATAAAACTCCTTCACAACAACTTTTGACACAAATTAAGCAATGATATCTTTCCTACAGTAAAAGAAAATCACTTTTATTCGACTTCTCGTGCATCTTTGTGCGTTTTTTGGCCCCACAATCACTTACCCGAAGTCCTGGTCCATAGACTTGAAGAAGAATTTGTAGTTCGGCTTGTTCAAGACCTGCTTAAAATCCAGCAAAGTGATTTTCTCGGCCGCTATGGGAATCTTCACCAAGTACGGCGTCTCCTCTTCGTCAATGTGATAAATTATCTTGGTCTCCGCCATGTCTCTCAACCCTGCTAAACTTTCCCGTTGTTCTGCGAAAGTATGGAAGAGGTAGCGGCTAACTTATCCTGCTAACGCTAGCCAGCGCTCCGGAGAGAAGGGGGTTGAGGAAAGTCGTCTAGACCACAATACTACTATCCGATAACACTGCCCGGGCCACAGCATCCAGCAAAAACAAAGAAAACTGCTCTGTTGTGTCTAACTTTTGCTCTCTTGGACAATGTCGATTCTCATGATTTAGTTTCCTAAAATGTTAAAAACACACCTACGGCCAGCTATCCTGTAACAACATCCCCCCCTACAAAAACACATGGGGGTTTGAAATACTTCTCTTCGGCTCGGGCCAGCGCGGCGTGTGACGAAAGAGCGGCGCCCAGGACTTCCCACCGCTGCTCTCTCGTATTGGGGCAAGTCCATACGAGTGTTTCTGTGGCACCAGATAGCGGTGGGACCTCTTGATTCATCCCAGTGATTTGAATCTTTAGAATCAGTTCACTACAAAGATTCGTTTACAGGTCATTTGTTGCGTTGCGAAGTCCGTGTGAAATCAAAATGTACAACATATAATTTGCTCGCTCACTTTGTTATTCTTTAAGTGATCAATTAATCTGTGCAAATAAGTCCACTGGAGGAAAAAGTTAGTTTTGGTATTCTTTAATCAAAGTCTGAACATTTGCAACTGTTTGTGGCAGTCCCGTTCTGATGACGTCGGTTTAACGGATTCGGTCACTATTTTTAGCCACGCCCCTCTTACCATTAGTTTGCTAAGAGGAAATATAGTGGTCCCTTGCCATTGATCTATAGGCCTACTTCTGCTTCAAGCACACGCGTATTGTCTGGCGCAACCTACGCGCGGTCATTTAGCCCTTGCTGTAACTGATGCTGTCACTAACACACACTTTTTTAAAAATGTAACCACACATCGTAACGATGCATAGCGCAAGCTCTGTGATTGGTCAGCTTGGTACTGGTGATGAGCGTGGGTGGTGCTGAGAGCTGTTTACAAGTCCCTTAAAGGAGCTCCAGATGGAAACGTTTGTTTTGTGTTTACCTTTATGATAAAAGTTGTTGCATGTCCATTGGTTCCCGCTTCTGAATAAGCAAGTTTTAGCTACTTGTAATGTTCACAAAATATAAAAATACCCGAGAAGAAACTTGACTCAGAGGAACATAAAAACCTGCTGCCAGCTAGTGGTTTGTAAGTGTTATCACAGAGCAACACAAACAGCATGCAGAAGTATTAATGCATGAAACCGGAGCACCCAGAGGAAACCCACGTGAAGGCAGGGAGAACATGCAAACTCCACACAGAAACGGCAACTGAGCCGAGGTTCGAACCAGCGACCTTCTTGCTGTGAGGTGACAGCACTACCTACTGCGCCACTGCCTCGCCCTATATTAATCATATAATTGTATTATGTTAGGGTAATTGACTTCATATATTTACAGAATGTGAAAAAAAAGCTATTTATATAGTGACACATATTCATCATTTACTCTCCGTCATGTGGTTTTAAACCTATTTGAGTTTCTTCTGTTGAACACAAAAGAAGATGTTTTGAAGAATGCTGGTTGGTGAGACCCATCGACTTCCATTATATAATAAAAAATTATTCTTTGGAAGTCAGTAGGACCCAGCAACCAGCATTTTTAAAAAAGATCTTATTTTGTGTTCAACACAGGAAAGACATTCAAACGAAATGATTTTTTTATGAAATATCCCTTTAACATTCTGTAATACCCTTCAAACATCACATTCTTTGAGATGTAGATATGAAGTCTGAGCCCATTTCATATTTCCAAGAAATCATCACTAGTGAACCGGTTTCCCATTTTTTAATTGCCACACGTCTGTCCACAAACCCTTATATCAGGTGCAGGTTATCACATGTTTTTGGCAACATTGGTGGCAGTGTTCAATATCTGTAAAGAATATTTCAGTCAAACAGTTAAAGTACTGCGCATGCCATGTAATCAAAAGTGGTCTCTGATGTATTCATGTGCATCATCCACAAGAGGGACTCATTATCATCTGTGAAGAAGCTCATGCTGGACATGAGTCTCCCTGGTGTTGCACAGCATTCAGCCACATTCGCACGTAATGCAAGTAAAAATGCCAAAAAAATTTTTTTCCATTAAACAAACAAATTTATTTATATTTCAGGACTGCACATGTGCACAACAATACAACACAACACAACACAACACAACAAGAGAGTATCAATATTTATTTTGAGGATAAAGTTTACATTTTTTCAAACCAAATAACATTAAAGGTGAAATATGAATATAAATATTAATCTTTGTTTTTCTGATATTTGCCAGCTAGATGTTGAAAAACATTTTGTCTTTTAGGTTGAAGCTTTGTAGTATATCTTGTATTCTGAGTGCATTCTATTCAATTGGATCTTAAATGTATAATTAATGCTTTTAACACTAACTGTTGCAGTGCTGCTTTTTATTTATTTATTTATTTTTATTTTTTAATAATTATTTTTTAAGGGGTTTTCACCTTTATTTTTGTAACAACAGTAGAGAGAATTGATAGGAAAGCATGGGGTGAAGAGAGAGGGGAAGGATCAACATAGGACCGTGAGGCGGAATCAAACCCGGGTCGCATTTGTTGACGCACAAACCACTACACTATATTTATTAACAGCAAAAACATACCCAATGATTTAGGAGTCCAATACAAAGATTCAACAGGTTTACTTGATTTATTGATTTTACAATTCACTGGAAACACAGTGAACATCTTGTAATGCTGAATTAGACTTTACAAAGTGGTTCTCCTCAGGCTTTCAGATAGTGACCATCTTTATATCTTTAACTTTGATAAAAGTTTGCAACCTATTGCATTATCACAAAACATATTTTCATTAAGAGTTGCATTCATCTGTATTGTTAGTAGGAAGACCCCTGCTGTCTAACCCTGAAGCATCCACTGTCTGCTCCAGTACACCTCAGCCCGGTTCAGGTCAACTAGAGGTCAATTCATGTGTGAAACGTAAGCTTTCTTTCACAATTTGAGTGCAGTGAATCTTGGCATTGTCCAAAAATATGACAGTGTGATAGATCTTCTGACATTTTGTTTAAGAAAAAAGCTACAAATGACATCAGACAGGGTTAAACAAACTGTTGACAAATATATAAGACAGCGGTAACATATAGGCAAATAATGTCGTATTTACAATTTTTGTTAGTATTAATTATAGAGAAGGGTGTTTTTGGTTGCTTTTTCTGACTTTAAACTAGAGTTGTGAACCTACACTGGTCTCATGATTATCATGCCATCAATTCGGTTCAATTCGATATCTCGGTGCATTACGGTGTATTGACGATGCTTTCCATATACATTATACATGTCTGTATAAACACACACACACACACACACACACACACACACACACACACACACACACACACACACACAGCATCACCCTCTCTTTCATTCACACACATACACACACTAAAACATAGACAGTACAAAACAAGCGACAAACAGCATCACGCTCTTTCTCCTTCACTCACATACTGTAAACACTAGGGTTGAGCATCTAAGCTATAATGCCGATCCGATACACATCTCGATACAAAGAATACGATCCGATATATTAGCGATACATTTGTGACATATTGCGATGCAACACGATACGATTCACACCCATATCACGATACAATGCGATAATTCAGCACTAACTAATTAGATCAAGTTTATGAGATTATGTGAAAGAGGATGCTGTGCCATTGAATGAGTTTGATTATTTATTAACCAAGTAAAACCAAGACTTTTTTTACAAACTGGCTTTTCTCTCAGAGCCAGAGTGTCAGTTTACAGTAGAGGGCCATTTTAGAACATATAGCACATATTATTTAAAGATTTTCAAGATAAACAATGTATAAGTGCAATATATATTAATATATATATATATATTTGCACTCTTTCAACATAAAGGTTTACCATTGCACAACAAGAATTGTGATTTAACTTTTCAACTATGAAAACAAGTTTTACAAAGATATTGTGCCACTGAATATTCAAAACTTAATTTGGTGAACTAGCAGTGTTATGCTGATTTGAAACATCACTGTCACTGTAAACAACAGGCTAATAAAAATATAATTAAATACAAATTAACAGGAGGAGGTGTTTAAAACCTTCGTTCTCCGTGACACTAGGCTGAATATCTTTGCAGATGAACAATGCAGTAACATCCGTTATTGGCGTAGAGCGCACAAAACTGTTGCGCATGGATAAAACTTGCAATGCTTTTCTCACCACTTTTGGAGCTGGTAGCTACAGTTGAAGCAGTGCGAAAGCCGGGGATGCAGGAACACTGGAAGATGCTTCCACAACAACACCGTGGCGCCGCTTCAAGTGAGATTTCAGATTAGTCGTACTGCCCGCGTATTTTACAGATGCGTGGCACATTTTGCAAATTGCATCTGTCCTGTCAAGTCATTCATCCTTAAATCCATAATGTTGCCATACTTTAGATTTAAAACTCAGTGGGGAATAAAATGTTTGTTTAGCTTCTCGCGCTTTCTGGGGGTGCACCACTAGCTTCATCCGCACACCTGATACACTGAGTTGTAGTGTAAGTGTACACATCCGCAAGCCCGTTGCTAAGGGTTACTTTATGTAGGTCGATTAATTATGCGCCAAAAACAGGTTGACAACACTTGTTAATAAATAAAAAATACATTCTATATTAAAAATATAAGCTGTATCTTGGAAAAACCGATGCATCTCGCAAAAACCGATGCATCTCGATTTGCTTCCAAAATTTCATTCATCCTTTGCTGCACTACCGATGCACTCGCATCCTGCACGCGCATGACCACGTATCGATACATATCGGTTAATTTTCCCATCCCTAGTAAACACACACGCACACAGGGAGCGATATTGTGAGAACGCCTGCTCCCGTTCAAATTACACAAGAGTTACCGACCGCTCTCACGCTTTATTCGGAAATTTATTCCCGCACCGCATGAAATCTGGTCGGGTCCAGCGGCTCCTGCAAATTGCAGACCTCTATCCAGAAGTATCTCTGTAACAGTCGAGAGGAGAGAAAAATTCACGCCAGCAGGTCAAATAGGCCACAGAGAAAGAGAAAGAGAAAGAAAGAAAAAAAGGAGTTCATTTTCATTCTCTCAATGGCAATGAAATAGGGGCTTCCGCTGTAAGTGTCAGTGAAAGACTGTCCAGCAAACACACACACAGTGAAATTGTGCATAGTTTCTGAGTTTTTAAGTAGTTGAATAATTGGTATGCTTCCCTCGCCATAGTAAGCTATGGCAACATATGGCATATGAGATAATAGACGTCACAACATAATAACCAGTTTTGATTATAACTGAACCGATACCGAATTGTCTGCATTTGAATAGCGGTGCACCGAAGAAGCAATTAATTTTGACACCCCTACTTTGAATGTCCCAGGACCATTACTGTCAATGGAGGCTCATTAAATAAATAAAATTGTGTTTTGAAGGTGAACGAAGCTCTCAAGGGATTAAAACAACATGCGAGTGAGTAATTAATCTTTCAAAACTAACCTTTTAAATCAAATAACAACACCTTTTATTCACAAACAGTACAATATGTTAGAAATGTTCATAATCTTTAAAGACATAACAGTGTGTAAGTTGCAATAAAAATGATGCATGTTTAATGATCTTAATGTTCTCACTTGGAAAACACAGGGACAGAATAAATATTTGAATGCATTTGCACACAGCATACAGTTATGACTTGGGATAGGTTTACAGCAGTTATGTGTACAGATAACAACATTGTCAAAATGAGTCCCATAAGCATGCCAGGCCAGTAGTTGGCGATGTCGCTTTGGAAAGAAACACTCTGTGCCTGCATGCATACGGTCCTATAGTCTAACCTAGTACTGTATTCTCAACTACTGGCTCATGGCTATAGGCTGAACATGTAATACAAATGGAATTGACATTCCTGTTTTCCTAAAATCATGTTTTTGTCATTTGCACAGAGATGATGACAAAGATAATGATGAAAAGAGTACTCTTTCAAACACCACTGATTTCAAGAGCTCACACTTAGCTGATGATTGATTATGAAGTGTGTTTGGCATGCTGGCCTGGGAGAGAGCCCTAAGCTCTTAAAATCCTCAAGTCCGGGGCTCCCTCATATTTGCAGGGCAAACATGAGAGTTTGAGCTCAGATAGGTCTCGAGAACTCCACTGCTTATGTATGGCTAATGACAAATTAGAGATTGCTATGTAGAGATATACTGCTGATTAAGAGCTCATCTATGGTGCCAATATGTTGCATGTCTTTGAACTGTGGGAGGAAACCAGAGAACCCAGGGCAAACCCACAAAAGCACAGGAAGAACATGTACAGTCCATACAGAAATGTGGACTGGCCTGTTAAGGACTTGAATCAGTGACGTTCTTGCTGTGAGGCAACAGTGCTAACCACTGGGCCGCCATGCCGCCCTATCAAGGAAAAGGGAGGGGAGTAGGGGTGGAAGAGGGGATTCTTCAAGACAAAGATAACTGAGGTAAGAATTTTCATTTTCTTTTCAGCTTAGTCCTTTTATTAATCTGGGGTCGCCACAGCAGAATGAACTGCCAACTTATCCAGCATGTTTTACACAGCGGATACCCTTCCAGCTGCAACCCATCTCTGGGAAAGAGATAGGAATCATCCAATTGGTAAATCATCAATCATAAGTAAATCTTAAGTAAATGAAGTTAAATAAGTTTCACGTTTTAACGAATGACCAAATTGTACATTGTTTTCCATATTTGGTTGAAAACTGAGTGCTGTAATCTTCCCCTTCACCCAAGACTTATAAATTTTCTTTTACTCAGGCTTCACTGTAATAAATGCAGGGTTCCACACAATTCCTCCACAGTTCCTCCCAACGCAAATCGAATAATTTAACTCTACCTGAAGTGGATTGATCATAAAACAATGACGTTGTGCCAAACCCTCTAAGAATTGCCTTGTCAACTCATTTTAAATAAGTTGTTTGAGCAAGCAGCATACATACATATAACATAATTTGTTTGAGTGGTCACTTGTTTCAAACCTGTCTGAAAGTCTTTCTTCTGTCGAACACGAAGAAAGTTATATCCAAAAGAATGCTGAAAACCAGGAATAACTTTGCAATGACTTTCATATTTACATTTTCTCTATGGTTACAAGTTTCTCTTTTAAAAGATCTGCTTTTGTGATTAATATAAAAAAGACGCTTAAGAACGAGTTTAATTTTTTTTGGTTGAATATCTCTTTAATTATGAAAGAGGCTTGGCCCGAACACAACCCCGACCACACAGGTCAGTACAAACATAACCCAGAAGATGACAGCCAGAACCTGAACACACATAAGAGTTTTCTTGTGTCCCCTCAGAACTTCCATCTCCCGATGCATCACTCGAGGAGGGTTCGCCCTTTCTGTGGCGTCCCCCATCTGCTCCACCCTCAGACTGACAGTGGGCAGAATTATGAAGCGAGTGTCCCTCTCGCCCAGAGACAGAACCAGCCGTTGTGTGACCGTGGCCAGACGGGCCGACACTGAAGCTGGCAGGCGGAAGGCCACCGGAGGAAGTTGCGCAAGAATCCGTGAGTTGCATGGAAGTGAATGCGCATCTCCACCCTGAAGAGGGGTGGAGTGACGGCACAGTGGACAGGAGATTGAGGGGGCGCTGTCGGGGTCAGGCGGGTGTAGAGGGGTGAGCTGGATTTTGCGGAGACACTCTGTGCAGAAGACGTGAAGGCATTCCAGCATACGCGGGAGTTTGGAGTGCTGGTCATATTCTTGATAGCAAACTGGACACTCCACTTCTGGAGACTCGGGCACCTCGGTTTGGGCAGATGTTGACTGAGTTTCTGACATGATGAGTGAAAGACTCCCAGAGCTGTCTTTTTCAAAATAAATCTAAGAAAAAAAATATTTTATTATTTTATATGACAGTATCATATATATTAAACTGACTACACTTCTCACTTACTAACATAATATGCCAAAATTAAGTGAGTTTTTCTTCATTATGCTTAAAAAGTAATTGAGTAAAAAAAAAAAAGAAACTAATTAGAATTTAGAGGTTTCAGAATTTAAATATAAGCTATACGCGAAAAAAACAAGATTACCTTATTTAAAATATTAAAAGAAAATAAGGTATACAGTATGCATGTATGAATGTGTGTGTGTGTGTGTATATATATATATATATATATATCTCGGCCACTTTATTAGGTACACCTGCCCAACTGCTCGTTAACACAAATTTCTAAATCACATGGCAGCAACTCAATGCATTTAGGCTGGTAGACATGGTCGATCTGCTACAGTTCAAACTGAGCATCAGAATGGGGAAGAAAGGGGATTTAAGTGACTTTAAACGCATGGTGATTGGTGCCAGACGGTCTGGTCTAAGTGTTTCAGAAACTGCTGGTCTACTGGGATTTTTCACGCACAGCCATCTCTAAAGTTTACAGTGAATGGTCTGAAAAAGAGAAAATATCCAGTGAGCTGCAGTTCTGTGGGCACAAATGCCTTGTTGATGCCAGAGGTCAAAGGAGAATGACCAGACTGGTTCAAGTTGATAGAAACGCAACAGTAACTCAAATAACCACTCGTTACAACCGAGGTATCCAAAAGAGCATCTCTAAATGCACAACATGTTGAATCATGTCTGGATCTACATGGGTTACAGCAGCAGAAAACCACACTGGGTGCCACTCTTGTCAACTAAGAAGAACAGGAAACTGAGGCTACAATTTGCACAGGCTCACCAAAATTGGTCTGATGAGTCTCGATTTCTGATGCGACATTCATCCCATCATGCCATGAATGATTAAGGCAGTTCTAAAAGCAAAAGGGGATCCAACCCAGAACTAGTAAGTTGTACCTAATAAAGTGGCCAGTGAGTGTATATAGATGGGTGTAATTTTAGGGCTTAACTAGGTTAAATAGGCAATTAGACAAGTCAGCGTACAGTATAAAAGTAATTTGTTCTGTAGACAATCAGAAATATCATGCTAATTGGTGCTAATAATATTGTCCTTAAAATAGGTTTAAAATAAAAAAAACTGCTTTTAAATCAAGCCGAAATAAACAAGTAAGACTTTTTTCAGAAGAAAATATATTATATTATACTATGAAACTCCTTGCTCTGCTAAAAAACATTTGAGAAATATTTGAAAAAGAAAAAAATAAGATTCACATGAGGGGGGGAACGCTGTGGCGCAGTAGGTAGTGCTGTCGCCTCACAGGTTGCTGGTTCGAACCTCGGCTCAGTTGGCATTTCTGTGTGGAGTTTGCATGTTCTCCCTGCATTTGCGTGGATTTCCTCCAGGTGCTCCGATTTCCCCCACAGTCCAAAGACAGGTGAATTGGGTAGGCTAAATTGTCCGTTGTGTGTGTTTCCCAGAGATGAGTTGTGGCTGGAAGGGCACACGCTGCATAAAAACATGCTGGGTAAGTTGGTGGTTCATTCATTAATAAAGCGACTAAGCCAACAAGAAAATGAATAAATGAATGAAAGATTCACAGGAGAGCGAATAATTTTGACTTCAACTGTGCATATCACACAAAAATATCCTAGATATGCTCTACTTATTTGTCAGATTAAACTTGCTTAATCAGGACTCATCTAGTTTATGAATAAGTGGAACTGACCCAGTTTCACAAGTTACTTCTCTCAAGGGTAGGAGCATCAAATCATTTCTGAATGCTGAAATGTTGAGAAACTTCCTTATTGGCTTGACCTGGCATGCTTAATCACAACAGTAAAACACCAAAAAAAGTCACGTAGACTTCATGATCATGACTATTACTGCCTGTACAGCTGCATATACAGTTCATTAAATACACAATCCTAGACATGAACATAGTATATTACTGCATTTACAGCCTTCTTTCAACAGTCATGAAATGTGTAGATTACAGCACACACAAATAAGATTTATTACGACTGTTCGCTTCTAGTAAACCCTGCTGTCTGTTTTCTTATTAGTGTTGCAGTTTCAATCCAACTCTCGAGTGAATATAGTCAGAGCGACCATCACTCACAGGAGGAGCTGCCTAGCAATGCACGTCTCCACAGTATTACTAATGTCTCAGGACTGCGGAACTGCACGTAACATTTATTCAAATATAAGCGCTGCACATCTTAACATTTGCACTGTCAACGTATGCAGTTGAAGGCAAAACTATTAACCCTTCAATGAAATTGTAATGTTTTTATGACATTTTCACAGTATTTCCTGTATTTTTTTCTGAAAAAGGTTTTATTTCTTTTAGTTGCATTTAGTTTGGATGCATGAAATAAAATCTTTTTATAATTATTATTTTAAGGTCAATATTATTAGATCCCTTAAAATTTTTTAATTGGCTCCAGAACAGACCACTGTTGTCCATTGACTTGCCTAATTATCCTAACTTGCCTTGTTAACATACCTAATTAAGGCTTTAAAATTACTTTAAGCTAAATACTACATCTTGCAAAATAACCAGAAATATTATCTACTGTCATCATGGCAAAGACAAAAGAAAAATGTAATTATTAGAAATTAGTTATTTCAAATATTGTTTAAAAAAATTCTGTTAAACATAAAATGAGAAAATACAGTTTAAGTCAGAATTATTGGCCCCCCTTGAAATTTTTTGTTAAATATTTCCCAAATGATGTTTAAGAGAGCAAGGAAATTTTCACAGTATGTCTGATAATGTTTTCTTCTGGAGAAAGTCCTTTGTTTTATTTCGGCTGGAATAAAAGCAGTTTTAAATTTTTAAAAACCCTTTTAAGGTCAAAATTATTTGCCTAGTTAATCAGTTAACCTAGTTAAGCCTTTAAACGTCACTTTAAGCTGTATAGAAGTGTCTTGAAGAATTTCTGTCATCATGGCAAAGACAAAATAATTCAGTTATTAGAAATCTTCGCTCTGTTAAACAGAAATTGGGGAAACAAATTAACCGGAGGGGTTAATAATTCTGACTTCAACTATATATGTTTATTTCTTATTTCACAGAGTGGCTAATAGTTTTGCCTTCAATTTTATCTTTAGCTGAATTATGGTGCAAAACATTTATAAAAACATCACAAATAAAAAGATTTAAGGGGCTCATTTGACTTTTCACAAAATTAATATCATTTTTAAAAAATTTAAAAAACAATCTTTCATAATCTAAACCGGCAACAAAATATACAGGTCAAGTTTTTTCTGTTGAACACAAAAGAAGATATTTTGAAGAATGTTTGTGATCAATAGTCATTAACTTCTATATTATATTTTTTCTGTTGTAAATTTTTAGCGTTTTTCTTATTCATTCATTTTCTTTTCGCCTTAGTCCCTTTATTAATCTGGGGTCGTCACAGCGGAATGAACTGCCAACTTATTTAGCCTCTGTTTTACGCAGTAGATGCCCTTCCAGCTGCAACTATTCACTGGGAAACACCCATACACTCTCAATCACACACATAAACTACGACCAATTTAGCTTATTCAGTTCACCTATGCCACATGTCTTTGGGCTGGGGGGGAAACCGGAGCACCTGAGGGAAACCCACTCAAACACAGGGAGAACTAGCAAACTCCACACAGAAATGCCAACTGACCCAGCTGAGGCTCGACCTTCTTGCTGTGAGGCGAATGTGCTACTCACTGTGCCACCGCTTCCCCGCATTTTTCTTATTTTAACTGGAAAAAAGTAAAGATTGGAACCACTTCAGGGTGAGAAAATTAAACTTCTAGGGTGAACAATTGCTTTAAAATACACACTATGAACTTAACCAATGGCTAAAACAAAGAAAAGTTTTAAATGTGCATTTAGAATTGTGCAACTTAACCAAAAGTGCCGGTTTCGGTGGAAAACACTTATCAAACCCCATTATTTACTGAAATACAAATGACACACACATAAATGTATTATAAGGGGGTCGAGTTTGGTCTTAATGTTCACTTAAGAAAATTGTAATTTTGTAAAATTTTACTGAAAAAAATATGCTTTTCTTACTTAGAGGTTTTGAAACAGATCTACACAAAGAAAACTCACAATCCTGCAAGCCAGATGTAACACAAACACTGCAAAAAAACAAAAAGCTTACTTAGAATTTGTGTCTTGTTTCTAGTCCAAATATCTTAAAAATCTTAAATCAAGAAGCATTTAAGAAGAAAATGATCCTGTTTTTAGGAAAACAAGCTAAATATTCGTCCAGCTGGGTAAGCTATTTTTTATTTCAAATCGAAAACAAGATTATTTTACTTTTAAAATATTATTTATTTCCCACTAGCAGATTATTTAGCTTGTTTTAAGGAAAAACCCACTTCATTTTCTGAAAACAGGTCAATAATTTTTACTTTTCCAGAAAATCTTCTTAATTTAAGACTAGAAACAAGACAAAATTTCTAAGTAAGCTTTTTTTTTCATTATTTGAACTACAATCTGGCAGGACTGTAAGTTTTCTTTGCATAGATCTGTGCAGAAAGCAGAGCGAGTTGTTCTATTAGCTCTCCAGTTTGTAGTGCGTGAAGGAAAGGTAAAAGATTGACTCACCGTTCCAGCTCGTCTGTGTTTTTCAAGGTGAAGTGGTGTGTGGCCGTTTGAACGTGAGTCCCGAGTCCATGCTGGGTCAGTTTAAAGTCACACTTCAGAAGTTTTTGGGTGGAAAACACCTCGTGCCTAAGCTTTGTCAGTGGTTAACAGGTCTGTTTTTACTCCACACGTGTGTTTACTGCTGTCTCTTCACCTCCCCTGATGCCCTGCATTGTGTGGCAGGGGTGGGGGCTGCTTTCTCTGACATTTATTATCAAGAGAGGAGTTGGTTACTAGGAGAGGGATCAGCATGAGAGCGATTGTTGCTGCGGGATGCTGATGCTTTTGAAAAGATCTCACGGTGCTGTTGGTTTTACTTGTTTTATTTTTATGTTCTTAAAATTTAATTTGATTGTGATACAGTTCTACAATGCTCTGACAACTGGATGCAAACTAGAGTTATTAGCTAACGAAAACTAAAACATGCAAAACAATTTGACAGAAAATTTACAGCATAAATATTTCTGTAAAATTTACATCGAAAAATGTAACAGTAAAATCTTGTGACATACTGCAAAAACATTAATATTATAAAAACCTAATGTGCATAACTGATAAGAAAAAAACTCACAAGTTATTTTAAATCCACATTTTTTATTGTTTTTTTTCCACTGCAAATTTTAAGACTTTTTCTTTATCATCTCCATAAACCTTGAGTTTAACAGTGTTTTAATGTATTTATATTCAATTTTAAGGGACAGTTCGACCATAAATGAAAATTATTTCATAATTTACTTTCCCTTGGGTGATTTGAAACCTTTATGAGTGTCTTTTGTTCAGTTAAACATAAATTAAGATATTTTGAAGAATGCCATTTCCGGAAACCAATTCACTTCCATAACAAAAAAAAAAGTACTTTCAAAGCTATGTGTGCCATCAAACCAGCATTCTTTGAAATATCTTAATTTGTGTTTAACAGAAGAAAGAAACTCAAATAGGGTTTAAACAAGTGAAAGATGAGTAAACGATGAGTTTTAATTTTTATGTGAACTATCTCTTTAAAGTTTTGATTTAATTATTTGCCAAATATAACAAGGAACCTTTCTATTAAGCCTTTTATTTTAACTAAAGCATGCTTACAGTTCTATTAAAGGTTTCAAACTAAAATATTCAAATATGAGCATAAATTATTTTTATTTGTTTGATCAGCCACTTTATTAGGTACACCTTAGTACCGGGTTGGACCCCCTTTTGCCTTTAGAACTGCCTTAATCCTTCATAGCATAGATTCGACAAGGTACTGGAAATATTCCTCATAGATTTTTTGGTTCACATTGACAGGATAGCATCATGCAGTTGCTGCAGAATTGTCAGCTGCACATCCATGATGCGATTGTCCCGTTCCACAACATCGCTAAGATGCTCTATTGGATTGAGCTCTGGTGACTGTGAAGGCCATTTGAGTACAGCGAACCCATTGTCATGTTCAAGAAACCAGTCTGAAATGATTCATGCTTTGTGATATGGCGTGTTATCCTGCTGGAAGTAGCCATCAAAGATACACAGTTGTCATAAAGGGATGGACATGGTCAGCAACAATACTCAGGTAGGCTGTAGTGTTGACACGATGCTCAATTGGTACTAAAGGGCTCAAAGTGTGCCAAGAAAATATCCCCCACACCATTACACCACCAGCAGCAACCTGAACCGTTCATACAAGGCAGGATGGATCCATGCTTTCATGTTGTTGATGCCAAATTGTAATCCTACCATCCGAATGTTGCAGCAGAAATCGAGACTCATCAGACCAGGCAATGTTTTTCCAATCTTCTATTGTCCAATTTTGGTGAGCCTGTGCGGGTTCGACGTGTTGTGTTCAGAGATGCTCTTCTGCATATCTCGGTTGTAATGAGTGGTTATTTGAGTTACTCTAGTCTAGATTTTCTATCAGCTGGAACCAGTCTGGCCATTCTCCTCTGGCCTCTGGCATCAACAAGGCATTTGCACCCACAGAACTCCTGCTCACTTGATATTTTCTTCCTTTAGAACCATTCTCTGTAAACCCTAGAGATGGTTGTGTGTAAAAATTCCAGTAGATCAGCAGTTTCTGAAATACTCACCCCAGCCTGTCTGGTACCAACAACCATGCCATGTTTCACTGCATTTTTTGTCCTGTTTCTAGTCCAAATATCTAAAAATTCCTAAATCAAGAAGAATTTTCTAAACAAGCAAAACATATTGCCTTGTTTTGAGAAATATTATGCCAATATTAAGTGAGTTTTTCCTTAAAACAAGCAAAATAATCTGCCAATGGGGTAAGCAAAATAATCTTACGTCAAAGATTAATTTGCTTACCCCATTTGCAGATTATTTTGCTTGTTTTAAGGAAAAACTGACTTAATATTGGCATATTATTTCTCAAAACAAGACAATATATTTTGCTTTTCTAAAAAATGTTTCTTGATATAAGAATTTTTAGATATTTAGACTAGAAACAAGACAAAAAATCTAAGCAAGAAAAGCATTTTTTGCAGTGTTGAAGTCACTTAATTCACCTTTCCTCCCCATTCTAATGCTCGTCATGTCTACATGCCTTAATGCATTGAGTTGCTTCCATGTGATTGGCTGATTAGAAATTTGCGTTAACGATCAGTTGGACAGGTGTACCTAATAAAGTGACTGGTTAGTGTACAAAAAACTGTCATAATTGAAAATATACAAAAACATACGGTAAACTCACAATATAAATAAAACTATAAATATGTACATTTTAATAATATATCCATATTAAAATAACACTTACTGCAGAATATACAATGAAACATTAATCAAATAAAGAGAAATATAGTTGAAAAAATCATGCAAACTTTAATTTAGCATGGTCTGGAGTAAATACACCCAAACTCCTGCATTTTTCAAAGGAGTCTTAAATCAATAACTTGCACAGCTTATCTAAACCTCAACAAAATTGTCTGCTTCAGATCTGTTTTTCCTCCTAGTGGCAGTTCATAGGGGTCAGGACTCTCACTTTAAGGACAAACACAATCGAAAAAAGTCACACTAAGTTAGAAAATAACAAGGGAAGTAAATCATGACAGATTGAGTTCCTGGATGAGCTATTCTTATAAAAATTGAAAACTAAGCACAATCAAGCCAAAATAAAAAAAAAATATCTGAGTTCGAAAAGCTATTTTAAATCCACGTCTTCACTTATTAATGCTGTTCACATAAAGCTAATTAGCATATTTCACAGGAAAAACGACAGAACATTTTATAGCACATGGTTACTGTTTCACAGACAGCTATTATCTGGCATTGGAATGACTGTATAAAACTCAAACAACTGGTTGTTATTTTGGTATTGCTGAGTAAGTAAATAATTAAGAACCGACTGTCCTTCAATCTCTATTTATAACTCACAAGATAGTGTAGACTGGATGGTCACAGGTCCTGTTTTGTAGTGAGTGTTTAACAGCACGTTACTCATGGCTGTCAGTGACACATACTCTACTTTTGTTTTGTTTTTTTACAACTCAACTTTCTAACCCTAGCCCATTGTAGACGCTCTCAACTTCCTTTGACCTTTTATTGTCTCGATCACGTCTAGCATGACTCCTCTTTCAGTGTAGAAACACATGTGATATACTTGAGAAGTGACACATGTGATATGCTTGACAAATTAAGAATCAGAAACTCTACCAAATAAGAAAGCCTCTGAGAAAATATTGACAAACTGAAGCCAAAGGCATGAGATACCGTGAGTTCTGAAGAAGGATCTACAAAAGGTAAAGGAATACAAGAGAAGGGGAATACTGCGGGAAGCGCTCCGAGGAAAGGACAGCCGGCTGAAGCCAGTTTAGAGGAGAGCGGCACACCCAAGCCCATGTAAGGGAATGATGGGGAGGGAGAAAACAGGAGGGGAGTGCATTCTGGGAAATCACACCGTGTGGGGCTGAGGGCTTTTGTTTGGATAAGGCTAATAAGGAGCAGCACAGCATGTGTGTATTGTATTTCCCGAGCTGCAATCGCATGTTTATTTTTATAAAACAGTTGTTTCCTCCAAACTTACTGTAGAAAACAAAGCCACTGAGTGTGTCGTAGAGGATTCCAGTAAACTGTGTAACAGGGGAAAGGGTCATTGTACAAAAAAAGCATAGCTTGTACAAATGTGGGGGGAAAGATTTATAATTTTGTGTGTGACATGTTGAAATGAGATTTAAAAAGCTTAAATAGCCCAAAAATTAACTTTATTTTGATTTTATTCTGTCAGACCAACACAGTCCTGTATAATGTTGTTGGGTATAGTGGCATTTTATTAAAGTTTACAAAAGGACATAAATCTGATGTAAAAATAACCCCTTACGCTCAGTGGCCTCCGGGTACTGGTTTCCCCCACAGTCCGAAGACATGCACTAGGTGAATTGATTGAGCTAAATTGTCCATAGTGTATGTGTGTACTTCCTAGTCCTTCAGGTTGGGGGTTGAGCATTGGGCTAACAACCCATCTCATAAAAAAATTAGATGTTATGAAACAGGTGACACAGTGGCGCAGTAGGTAGTGCTGTTGCCTCACAGCAAGAAGGTCGCTGGGTCAAGCCTCGTCGAGTAAATTAAGTAAATTATTTATTTTAAATATTTGTCTGAACTATTCCTATAAGGTGTTCACATTTGACATAAGCTTCATTTTATTAAATCAAACTGCAGCACCTTCTCTGTCCATTTCAATAAATGTGAATGCTGCAATCCAAAACTCTGAGTAGATCATAACTAGGAGACTGAGGCCTCTGAAAACATGGGTCTAAATATATATATATATATATATATATATATATATATATATATATATATATATATAATATAAATAAATTATATATACTACACATCCGCATATATATATATATATATACATACAGTTGAAGTCAGAATTATTAGCACCCTTCAAATTATTTTTCTTTTTTTTAAATATTTTTCAAATTATGTGTAACAGAGCAAGGACATTTTCACTATGTGTCTGATAATATTTTTTCTTCTGAGAAATAAAATTTTCTTAGAATAAAAGCCGCTATTAATTTTTAAACACCATTTTAGGAACAAAATTATTAGCCCCTTTAAGCTATATTTTTTCTCGATAATCTACTGAACAAACCATGGTTATACAATAACTTGCCTAATTACCCTAACCTGCCTATTCACCTAATTAACCTAGTTAAGCCTTTTAATGTCACTTTAAGCTGTATAGAAGTGTCTTGAAAAATATCTAGTAAAATATTATTTACTGTCATTATGGCAAAGAGAAAATAATGCAGTTATTAGAAATGAGTTATTAAAATTATTATGTTTAGAAATGTGCTGAACAAATCTTCTCTCCGTTAAACAGAAATTGGGGAAAAAATAAACAAGCGGTCTAATAATTCAGGGGGGCTAATAATTCTGACTTCAACTGTGTGTGTGTGTGTGTGTGTGTGTGTGTGTGTGTATGTATGTATATATATATATATATGTATATATATATATATAAACAAACAAACATAGGAATGCAACAAGACAATCAAGATGTGGTCATAAAAAGTGCCCATTCTGCTTTTTCTGATCGTAATTTTGGTGTGCAAAAAAAAGTGTAGTACAAATGTTGGAAATGGATCTCCTTACAGCAGATCTTCAATTGTGTGTATGATGCATTCCTCACATTTTTCTGGTTCCTCAAAGAACTATTTAGTTAAAAGTTTTTCAAGTTTATATTAGTTTTTCTACGTTTATGATAAAAAAGTAAAGTGAAAAGGTTCTTGTGAAATGATGATGTTCTTTAAGGAGCTATTTCCACTCTTATTTTTATATGTAATGCTTGTTATAAACAATTGGGACTGGAAAGGCATCAACCACATAAAAAAATAATATATGTATTATTACGTAGCAGTGCGATATGGTTGTATATCGGCACTGGTGGGGGCACTCCCACCAGTGCCGATACATGGCCATATCGCACAGCTACGAATGTGATATTGCTCATATATATATCAGTACGGGTCTTGTTGGTCTGCTTTCAGCCATACATCAAACTTACAATAAAAAATTATAAATAAAAACCCCATTACACATTTACAACTTGCAAAAATAACAGATTTTCCTACATTACAAAACAAACCAAAAGAGAGAACCTACCTCTACACACCTTAAAACACCTAAAGGTAAGGTAAATCACCTTCATCTGATTTACTACAGCAGCTACATTTACAGGAATTCCTCCTATATGAATCTCACAATGTTGACACTTATCAAATTTCTCTTTTATGGGAATTACAGGTGTTTTCGATCATAAATCTTAACCACTAAATGGGGAATTCCTACTTTCGTTTTCCTAAAATAGTATAATAGAACAAATAAGTTAAGACACGTAGAACGGTCTGACTCAACATTTGATGAAGTGGGATCATCCGTTTCGGGGGCCAGAAACACGTTAGGGTAATGACATCACCGCGCTTGCTGCCGCAGTGACATCACTTTGTTTATAAACTTTATTCCTGTTGCTACAGACGGTTTCCCTGAGAGGGAGGGTGAGACACTCCTCCCGCCCACATGTTTTACATACACACATCCGCTTTCAGCACAGCGACTGCCTATATAATGAGTCCCCGGCGTAAGTTATTCACTTTCAATAACTCGCAAACAACAGGACAACATGTTTCCAGAATCGGAGTGCGGAATCTGCTACCGAGCTTACAACCTCGGCCGGCGGTGTCCTCGACAGCTGAGCTGCAAACACACGTTTTGCGAGAGCTGCTTGGTGACCATCGGCCGGTCTGCGGAGACTCACGAGCCCCGGATAGTGTGTCCACTGTGCCGACACTCCACGGAGATGCCGGAGGCGAGAATCAAAGACAACCTGCCGGTAGACGAGGACATTTTTGAGCGACTTGTAACCGCGGGAAGCTCTCAGGAATGTGAGGATGATGATGATGATGATGAAAACGCAGAGGAACAACATCAAGACGTCCCTTCTCCAGCCGGAGTTCCCTGTCTAGCCAGAGAGGACGTTTCCCCACCACCACGAACCCGAAAGGGACACCTGGTGAAGTGCTTAAAAAAAGTGTGGAAAAAAGTTGTCGGAGACGGGAACATAAGTGAGTATTTCACCTCGATAACCTGCTATAGGTGTCTTTTAATGTGCTTAAGGGTATATCTCACACAAAAATGAAAATCATTTACTCAGCCTCCTTCACTTGTGCCAAAATATTTTGTATTTCTTTCTTGAACATATTTAAAAGAAGGCTGAAAACCTGTAAACATTAATGACTTCCAATGGCTACAGGTTTTCAGCGTTTATCAAAATATACTTTTATCGTTTAGCAGGTGAATTTTTGGGTTAACTTGTCAATTTAGTACTTGAATTGAGTGCATCAAGAACTAATTGTCATGTGTTTTTGTTTTGTTTTTTTCAGATTGTACTATAAGTGATGCAGACTTGAGGGACCTGGCGGTTATGTCCTGCTACATGATGTGAATGACAATTTCAAGTTGCTGACCGACTCTAGTGCTGTCCTCAGACACTCATTACTGCACATTCCCAATTCACCTCTGAAAGGGAAGCTGTGGACCGCATGTTTGCACAATGTATAGTGGGACTGTCAGTGCCTTTCGGGCACATGAGGGCTGTTTGTAGCTGGGTGTGACTCGTCACCATAACAGACATGTGAGGTTGTTGCAAAACAACCCATAAACACAGCAACAGCACATGTTAAAATCATTTTTGGCTGAAATGAACCACACTGCCAGTAGACGTGTTTGTGGTGCTCTTTTTGCTGTTACAAAATCCTGGAACACATTCCCAATGACTTTTCTGTCTTGAAATGTAAAATATTCTAATTCATTGTTATGAAATGTTGTATTTATTGTATCTTTTAATTTGTTTAATTAAGGAGTTTTTCAGTATTACATTTGTATCAAATGATTGTGCCTAAATTATGTGTCATTTTTAAACTCGTTTCATGATCACAAATGATTTTTTAATATTAGATTTTTATAAAGTTAAAATATTGAATTACTGTATAATGCTACATTTGTACCAAATAAATATTTTTAAACTACATATACAAGTTTACCGTGTGTGTGTATAAATAATTTTATATTAGTTACTTAATTCATTCATTTTCTTTTCGACTGAGTCTCTTTATTTATCTGGGGTCACCACAGCGGAATAAACCATCAACTTATCCAACACGTTTTACACCGCAAATGTCCAGCTGCAACTCAACACCCATACACTCTTTCATTCACACACATACACTACGGCCAATTTAGCTTTTTCAATTCACCTGTACCGCATGTCTTTGTCAAGTGAAACAGGAGCAACCCACGCAAACACGAGGAGAACATGCAAACTACACACAGAAATGCCAACTGATCCAGCATGGGCTTGAATCAGCGACCTTCATGCTGTGAGGCAATTGTGCTACCCACTGCGCTACCATGATGCCTTATTTAATTATAAATAGTTATATATTTTACTCCACATGCCGATAAATGTAAAAGTGATATCCTGTTCCCATGAATCTAAACACTCTTGTTTGGTTGTCAGGTTCTCATACACCTCTATAAACCGAACACATGCTCGTGCATAAACTCCATTTTCTTGTAGTAAAAAACAGGGTCTGGTACACAAAAACAACCATAGTATATATTTGAAATATTATTGCACATAAAGTGCATTTTCAAAAGTTTACCATCTCCATAAGCGGTTTTTGTCATGTAAATGAACAGCTGTTAAAAAGTGCTCATTTTTATTTGACGCTGTGCAAATGTACACAACTGAAATCAATAAAAATAAGCATATGGGCAATTCTGCATGCACTTAGCTCTAAATGCATTCAGGTGGGCCTCATTATGATGAACAAAGTTGATCAACAATGTCAGTGTTTCAGGTAAGGCCACATTAATAGGGTCATTTTGAGCAGGTGTGACAAAAACTTGCACTATAGAGCTTTAAACATGTCTCATCATTGCTTTCTGAGGTAAGCATTTACATTCCATTTCAGTGTAACAGTTTATAGAGGTTTGGTTCTGTTGTTATGTAAGTAAAATCTTAAAATGAACCTGTTTTTATACAGATTGCTGTTGGTTTGTTTGACTCACTCTGTTGTTGGGTGTTTTCCTGGACTGTCTTTTGGTAAGATGTGGTTACAAGTATTATTGGAATAATTTGTTGCGTCAAATCAAGTATTTTTGTGTAAAGTATGAACTAAAGTGTCAAATTAAAACTGATAGGAATATTTATTTTATAATATTGATAACTAAATGTATTGTTGGTTTATTGCCAATCCATTTAGGAGACATCGCTGGAAATGAACCAAAGATCAAATTGCAAGCACTGGAAGTTTTCAACATTGCTGATTCTTCCATCCAAAAGCCAATAAAAGGCACTCTACTAAACAATTTAGTACAGTTTAACAGCAAATATCAGTGGCCCAGAGTCAACTCAGCCCCATACAGTCAGAAAAGCGATGGCAATGCCAAAAACCCAAGCTTTAGACTTACTGAACCAAAAGATCCTGCATATGTTATGAATTACCAAAATAAGATCTTGTCCAGCAGCAGAAATAATCCTGTTGATTTGTCTAGCGTCAAATATAATAAAGGACATGATGCCAAAACAAGCTATGCTTTCCAAACAGTCCAACAGGAACTCAATCCCTTCACAGGGAGCCAATGGAGCTCTAGTGATACAAATCTGGGCTTAAGGCTGGTGAAGATAGAAGGTCCGGTGGACAGAATGCATGCAGGAAATGTGTATAGATCTGAGACATTTGGATATCAGCCTATTTCTAAATCAGAAATGCATTCAGGCAGTCAACAACCATTACGACTCAATGAACCCTATTTGAGGGAAGATATCTCCGTCCAACCAGCACATGCTGAAAGAATCTCATCTAATTACATGTCCAGAAGCTCCAATGCAAACCATAATATGAGGTTCAAAAGTGATGCAAATGCCATGTTTGATCAATCCAATCAAAATGGGCCGAGGAGGGTCATGCCAATTATAGAAGATTTATCTTTTCTAGAAGCAAATCAACAAGTGCACAAATCATCGCCACATGTTTTTTCTGCTGGGACTGCAGCCCTTTCTCAAACTTCCCTGGGGAATGTGAGAGATTCATCTCTTTCTAAGATTCCCACAGTTCCAAGACTAATACCTTTAGTTGCAAAAAGGCCAAATTCAAATAGAGGTGACCTAATCTTTCCTTTAAAAAAACTTGTGATGTTTTCCTCTGAGCCTGATCAGATGAAGCATTCAGATTCTAGAAGGGTCACCATTCCACAAGCAAATCCACAAAACAGCTTAGAGTATGGAAATACGAAGTCTTATACAAACAGCTACACCCTAAAGGACATTCAATTGACTTCTGCGCAAAATGGTTACCAAAACATTGGACAAAGTTATCAGGATGTTGAACCTATTCAAACACGTCACACTCAGAAGTATGATGAAGTGGCTTCAGGTTTATCTGTTGACATCCCGTCAACAACCAATGGTGTCCTTTCTTACAAACAATTTCTGTCAGATGAGAATAACATCCGAAGCCAGCTTTCTGCATTATCTAAACCATCAATGCAAGGCACGTATTTGACCTCCCAAATACAGTTTCCAAAGAACACTGTGTTATTTTTGGAACGTGATAAGAGTGTTAATCTACCAGACATCACAAATGATTCACTAATGAAGACAAGTCAGCATAGCACGCGGCATAGGACGGATCTGAATCCTTCAGGCCAAAGTATAACCCATTCGTTATTTGTTAAAAAGTTTCCGGTGCCAAGTCTCGTGCCAGGCAACACTATAAAGAGTGCTTACAGTGTTAGTCCATCCGCGTCTGGCACATATAAAGATTCAGCTGTATCCACAGATCAAAACCATCCATACTATATATCTCCTAAAAAGCCATATGCTTTTAAAGGTTTTGTCCCAACATCTCTACAAAAATCCAAAGTGCACTTTGAACAGAAACCTATCACAAACTCTTTATTGAATATGCAATATGTTGCTGCTCATCCAAGTACCATTCAAGAGCCCTTAATTTCTGACCAGTTTAAAAAAATGCTTTTCCAGTTTGAGGACTTCAAAACAAGCCAAGACAAACAACCAGATCCTGATCTGACAGACTCCTTTAATAACAGACTACAGCTCTCCTTTAAAGAGGGTGGAAGTAACATGAAGTATGATGTTCAAGGTCAAGCTGAAGCCAGGAGTGGCACTGAATCTTCAAATAATGGAGCAGCTTTTCTGCAAAAACACCTTAAAAAGGCATACAAGGAATTACCACTTGAGGAAGTTCAGTCAGAAACATCCAAGAGGTGGACTTCAGCCTTACACAACCTAAGTCAAATGCCAAAAGTGGGATCCTCCATCAGCAGGTTTGTTGGTTCTAATGCACACTTCTCAACCACTAAATTTTCCAACAATCATGAGAATCCTAAATCAGAGATTATTCAACCAATTTACAAGACTCCTCTTATTAACAAAGCAGTTGCTGTTGTCCATCCAATTCACATGTATAAATACAAGGAACCGGAAGCTCCATTAAATTCAGCTAAGGAAATTCTGGGGAATAGAAACCCAGCTGAAGTAACCCAATCAGATATTAGTGAAAATGCCATGAGATCAAGTCCGACAAGTAGTGTTGTGATTGGGAAGCTGGTTGAAGTTACAGAAAAAGGAAAAGGATCTGGAGAAAATTCATACTTTCAAAATTCTTATTCAGCGCCATTTACTCAATCTACATCATACAGATCTACTCATCTAAAGAGTCACAAAGTGAATAGATTTTCCACTATATACAGATCTACTATTAAACAGTTTGACCCGATAAATGAAACAAACATTGACTTCTATGCTATTGACGCATCCCAGTCATCAAGTCCCACAAGCAGCTTTGTAATCGGACGGTTAATCAATACCTTTAACAATGCCTCCACCAAAACAAATCCCAAAGCATCTTCAACAAAAACGGCTCTGAACAGTTTTAAGCCATTTCGATTTTCAGATATAGCTGGTAGTGCTTCTTTCACTAATGCTAAGCTACATTCTGCTGCCATCACGCCAAAGGAAGTTGCGGATGTCACAAGAGTTTCAAACCACTCTGATTCAACAGTGATGGCGGAAATTATTGACAGCTCCTCTGTGATCTCAACATTAAAAATCGAAGATGATGTTCAAAGCCCGGTGAGTTTCAGTGTCTCTGAGTTTCTGCCAACAGCTGCAATAGACATCAGCATGGAGTCTCGGTCATCATTTACAGAAGAATATTCTCCATCTCAAACAAATTCACAGCTGAATCATTCAAAAGTGGATACTCATTCATTTTATGAGGGAACTTTGATGCCAGATATTACTACCACTTCGGTCTCAGTTACCTCAGATGTAGACTGGCTTTTTTTAAATTTGTGAGGTTAACTTGTACAGTATGAACGTCAATGGTAAACGTCTTTAGCAGACGGCAGCTTGAAGTGTTTCTCTGTTCTGTAGGTAGATGGCGCCAGATCTGTTGTCACGTTCATTTTGCATTAAATGTAATGAATGTAAATTCTGAGCTTCGTTGTTGTTGTTGTTGTTGTTGTTTTTTCATTACCTCCCATGTTTACCTCCCAACAGCATATGATGTTGGGAGAAATATTAATTATACTTAAATATTACTTATTTCTTGCTTGTATATTTACTTTTGTCATGCAATATAAGCTTATTATGATTTTTAGGTGTCAAAAAGTAATATTTGCACTCAAATTTAGATAATAAAAACCATTTTTGCAGTCAAACTGCTCAAATCATATTGCATAAAAAGTCTAAATTGAAGTTCCAAAATTGACATTTCTGAGTGTTGCAGACAAACTATGATGTTGTTTGAGCTGTTTAGGATAAAACAATTTTAACTTCCCATTTTAACATTAATTTATTTTTCTTTAATTTTAGTATTGAGATTAGTACTATACATTTTTTAAATACAATTACTAGTGTTTTTTAGTTTAAAGAAGTGTTTATGTAACCGGTTCTGCATTGTACTGTCTAATTTTTAAGTGGGAGAACTAGACTGATCAGAAGTTGTGACTGCTCTTTAATCTCACTCCTCTCCTGTGTGCAGTCAGTGCAGAAAGAGAAAGTGCAGCGCATTTAGCATTCACATGTTTCAATTAGAAAAAAAAAAAAAATAAAATCCTCAATTTAAGGGAAAACAAAAATAACAAAGGAAATGTAGAAAATAGAGTTTTAAATATTATTTAAACATTAAAACTACATTTTTAAAGGTAGAGCAGAAAAGGAAGAGGCTGGTGCAAAACAGGAAGTTAAAACTAAAGCTTCTCTGGAGATTTAAAGGAGAAGACTCAAACACTAATACACTTCAGTTAATACTTAACACACATTTTGTGTAATTCTATAAATAAAGTGAGCAATTCTTTCCATGCCTGTTACACTTACTAGTAACTGGATGTATCACATCAGGGACTATACTGTGGTATAAATAAAAATGATAGTAATAAGGACGCAAAAGATATCTAAGACAGGTTTTTATTAAATCCACTAGTAGGTTTTGTCAACAGAATTGATGGTTATCATGTGGATTTTTTTTCCTCCACTAAAAGTAAATAAGACTAATTAAATGTAAATATTATATTTAACAAAGATTAATGTTTTAGAAGTATGTGTATTCATTCATTTTCCTTCGGTTTAGTCCCTTTATTCATCAGGGGTCACCACAGCGGCATGAACCGCCAACTTATCCAGCATATCTTTTACAGAGCTGATGCCCTTCGAGCTGAAACCCAGAAACATCCATTTACACTCATTCACACACATATATTACAGCCAGTTTAGTTTATTCAAGTCACCTGCATTAAAAAAATAAATAAATAAAGATTACTGCTGCTTGTTCAAACTACCTGTTTAAAATAAACTGAAACAACACAATTCTTGTCATTTCTTTGGCCAATATATTTGTTTTATGTTCAGTCCACTTCAATTTGTAAACCATTAAGTTAACTCAAGCGTTTGCGTTGGGACAACATGAAGAAATTGTGTTGGTCCGACTACCTGGTTAGGGGAGTTCCCATTAGGCTTTGCGTGGGATTGAATAAAGTGAAGAAAATGTTGACAATAAAAGTAATCTTAGGTGTTTAAAGTTATTAAAAAGACTTGTTCAAATTTAATCCTCACTTTAGTTGGAAGATTTAGAAGATTTTCGTGTAATGTTTTGAGATTACCACCTTGAAGAAGCACCCATGCTTTGAGTGTTGGCAGTTTAATTAGCAAAATAAAAAATAATAAACTGCAGTTTGTTGCTTTGCTTAATGAACAATAACTGTCCTAAAATTAGTCTCAATCAACTGTATTTGTAACTAATAAAATATGCTTAAATGGCTCTTTTAGTTTATTCAGGATAACTTCAAGTGAAACTAAGAGACTTCAAAATGTACAACAAATAATAGACATACACAATATTATCAGTCCTTTCAGTTTAAGTAAAATAAAATACAAATGCATTTAAACTTTTATTTGATAAATACATGTTGGATTACTTCAGTTGCATTTAATTGTGTAAATAGTTTGTTTTAGTTGGCGCTAAACAAATTTATTGGATGGAAATCCTGCTCTCAATTAAATTGAGTTCATCCAAAGAGTTATATTTTCAGAGTGAATCTTTTCCCATTAGACAGTCTTTGGACTGTGGAGAAAACCAGCGCACCCGAAGAAAACCCACACAAACATGGGGAGAACATGTAAACTCCACACAGAAATGCCAACTAACCCAGCCGGGACTTGAACCAGTGACCTTCTTGCTGTGAGGCGACAGTGTTAACCACTAAGCCACCATGTCATCCCAGAAGTATGTTTAATTCATTAATTTTAAATCATTTAGTTAACAAAAGTTAATAACCGTTTCAAATATCCCATTATTTAATGCACTAACTAACAATGTATTACAATAATTTCCTTAATTAATAGACTTTGTTAATAATTAATGAAAACAACAGTTAACAACATCTCAAGTGCCTTAATATTAAAAGTTACGAGTTAAATTTTTAAGATGCATTGGTAAATATGAAAATGAATTTACATTTTTTTTAAAATCTTAATATTTTTCATTGTTCACTGAAGGTCTTGTTAGTTAAAGCATTCACTATTAATAAGCAATATGTTTGCTATAGTATTTCAGTCTTTGTTTATTTTTTATTTTGCAGCATCATATCATTATGACCATATTCATCTTTTTTAGTCATTTTACTATATAATTTATGAGCGATGAACATGTTCTATATAAGTGATCTAGTTTAGAAAAAATTATATGACTATAATAATAATAGCTAATAGCTAGGCCCACATAGAATCTGCGCGCACAAAATTCAGCAGATTTTCTGCAGACTTTTAGTCCATCAGTGATTTTGTTTATTTACTTAAATAAACGTGTTTACATTTATATTTATTCAGGTTTTTAAATAATTTCAGTATAATTATTGACTAATATGAAAATGTTTATATGATTCATTTACAATACAGTTTGTAAAGTAAAATTTTCTTACTTTAAGTAGACATATTAAATGAGAGACTTGCTTTGTTTACTAAATAAAGTGGATCTAATTGGATTTGCACAGTAAACATTAAATAAAAGTTTTTTTAAAAGTTAATTTTTACTTCATATATAAATTTTTTAGTTATGATACTTCCATAATCATTCCGCATAAATCCGCAGATTTTTCAAACAATTCTCAGAAGAAATAGCAAAAAAAGTCAGCAGATTCTGTCTGGCCCTTTTTTTTTTACTGACCTTAATATTTTCTTATATATTAAGACGCAAGCCTTTATAGTGTATGATGACGGCGTGAATCAAGCAAACATCAAAGCACAATTTTACTTTTCAAACATATTTCCAATTTTATTTCAGTGTTTGTGCCCTTGATAGCCAGCAGATGGTGTGTGTGTACTGCGGATGCCTCTCTCACAAGGTTCTTGAGTTCATTGTGAAGTTGCGTATTGTTTAATTAGGACTAAAACTGCTTTAAAATAGAAGTGCATTTAAACAAGCTGCAAGCAATCAATTATCTTCCTGACCTCACTTGCATACATAGGACATATATAGGATATTGAACAATTTATCCCTGATCAAAAAACACCATGATCCTAAATGACAGTAACGCTCTTGCTTCTACAATAGCCTAGTATTAAAGCTATTGTATGAATGACCCCTAACCTTTTCCCATTAGAAAGGCCTGAGCAAAGAAAAATCCCCTTGTCTACGCCCCATCCACACTGTCCCAGCATGAGGCCGGCGCAGAGAGAAAAAAAACTGAGGGCTCTTCTGTCAATCATGACTACATACATTGTACAGCAGATTACCACACTCCCCCTTAAATGCTTTGAACATGGAACATTCCACTTCCCTGGGAAGTTTGCAGTTGAAAACTACTCTTTTGATGAAAAAAATGGTCAAATGTTTGCTGTTTTTAACAAACTAATATCACAAGAATGTTGAAATATATGCATGTATGTGCGTTGAACACGTTGCATTCTGTCGCTTTCTCACTCAAGCTGTTTCGCTCCTCCGTTCCTCCCTCATCTCCCCCTCCTCTATCTGTGTCTGAATTCTGTAGCATGTGTCTGTGGGTTCTCAGGAAGCTCTTGGGGAAAATAAAATGTAGAGGCCCCGCAGTGACGTGACCCTCCCCGCTCTCTTCCCGCTCTGCTATTCACACTCTGTACAGCCAATCTTAGGGTACAGGGAGTCTTTTTGTTTGGATGTGGAGCCAACAGTCTCAACCATAGCTTTAGGCTCAACCATTCAGGAAGAACCTCCAAATCTCATCTGAGCTTTAAAAGAAACCGGTAGCACTTTACAAGAAGTTCCCATTTGTCAATGCACAAGCTAACAATGCACACTGCGTTTCACTGTTAGTGAATGTTGGTTCAGCTTTTGAACTAATGATTACTTTTTACCTTCATCAGAAGTAACCTTTCTGTTTGGAAAATCTTTTAAAGGTTTAATATTTTTAATGATTGGATTTGGATTTTGAATTTTCTCCCTGAAGGGCAATTTGGTTTACAGCAATAGCCAACAGTTAACAGCAACAGGTCACACCCAAAAAACATAGAAGTAACATAAAACAATAATATTAATCATAATCAAGTAAAGAAAGAAAAAAACATACAACTTAGAGCTTGTTATGTAACCTAACTCAGTTGGAACAAATGAATGCAAATACAGGCCCGTAGCCAGGAGGGGTCGGGTGGTTTGGAAGGCCCACCACTCACTTACAAAGGTCCAGAATTTGTCTCGCACTGTAAAACCATGTAAAAGTGAAAGTAACTCAAACCATTGAAGGAAACCGATTGCAACAAACCATTTACGTTCAAAAAATTATCCTAATGAGTACTGTAAACTTAATTGATTTGAGTAAATGAAGCAATTTGAGCACAGTAAAACTTAATAAATGAAGAGAACTCAAACTGAGTACTGTAAAACCCAATAAGTTAAGGCTTAATAACTTAAACCGTTTGAGGAAAACGATTGCTACAAACTATTTGAGTTACAAAGACTAA